GTGAGCCTGGAGGCGCTGGAGCAGTGCTGCCGGGAGAGGTACGGGGCGTGGGCGGAGATGACGGTGAACTGGAGCAAGGCGCCGCGTCGGGTGTACCGGAAGGCGAGGACGGGGAGGAAGGGAGGGAGGGGCAAGGGGCAGGAGGGGAGAGGGAAGGAGAGGATGGAGGAGACCGGGGCTGAGGGACCTGCTGGTAGCGGGCAGAATCGAGAGGCTGGGAGCTTTCTACCTGTTCAGAATGATGTCGCGTCCGTCCAGTCAGAGCCGTGGGAGCTTCACCTGCTTGGCGAGGCGAGGGAGGAGGAGGAGAGCTGGCTGGAGGAGGAGCTTACGTTTGTAGGGTGGTGGGAGACGCCGGAGGAGGTGACGGGCTTAGGGAGGACGGGCTGCCATGTATGGCGCGAAGGAGGATGGTGATGGGTTTGGGGTGAGGGACGTTCTGCAAGAGGTATCGGAGGTCTTGTAGATAGGTCACGAGGGGCTCGGGGATGATGGCGAAACAAATAGACGTAAAGTGGTGTTAACATGAGAACAATAATTTGATGATTAAATTGATAGATGTTTCCATTGCACCTCAGCGTTCCTGGAGGTCTTTGCAGATACCTCAAAAGCTCCATCCTGAGCGTGATCTCCCACCAAGAGCAGTTGAGAGAGACATTTGTTCTGTGATTGGAGGCAAACAATTCCTACACCGTCACGCCAACTTGCGGATACATCAATCGACAACGGTCAACCTCTCTGTTCACATACGGACACAACGTTACAACCATGCCGTGGTGCATGCATCTAGCTAGTTGGCTACAAACTTCTTATGCAGTAGGAACCTTTCTTTTTTTTCGGAACCATCAATTCACTCCAACACCTTTCATTCAGTACTTGTGTCGACATGAGCTGACGCCAGTCACGTTACAGTCGGCATCACGATTTCGTTACAATGGACCTCGGTCCGAGCAGTAAAACATCATTTATTATATGCATCGATTCGGAAGCACTATTCAAATCCAGTCTCGATGCATGAAGTACCTTAAATCCCACACTGACTTCACCGCTTCCTCTTTCCGTTGCAGCCCATCATTTGCCTCTCTCTGACAACCACCCGACGGGGGCATCACAGAGATTGGCAGCTGAGCCTGATAAGGCAGCAAAGGTGACGAGAGCTGGACTGGCAGCTGGACTGGTGCGACGAGGAGGGTTGAGCGGTTTACTTTTTGAAAAGATGCCCGTGAGGCGGGCCCGGTTGTAGCACACCCCCCTCTTATAATTATTATTATCATTATTGTTCCGTTTCCGATGGACTAAAAAAGAATGAGGGGATCTGTAGTAAGTTGACGGTCACGTTACCATCGGCATCTCAAACGACGAAATTAAAAAATCTCATTGCGCGAAGCAGGGGTACCTGACAACTGAATCTAGGGGGTAGGGGTCTTGTATCGGGGAAAGTTGCAATGGGGGAATGACGAGCCCTGAGGACCGGTACTAAGGGGAGCATGCGTCAGACCCTGTACCACTCTATCCTCCCTTCCCCTCCCTTTCCCCCCCTCTCACCCTCCCCTCCATAACCCATACCCTCTGATCTCTTCATCAACTGATTCCCTTCTCTGCCTCACCGAATCTCTTTCAAGCAGCCCGCCCTCTCCATCACGACATATCATCACTAGCGAAATCCCCGTGCCTCCTACATAATCCTTCCTCCCATGGTCCGGCCCTCTGCCTCCCCCGCCTCCAAGGCCGTCGCCCTCGCCTTCGCCCAAGCGGTATGCCCCTCCCCCTCATCTCATCTCCTCCCTCTTTCCTCTGCTCTAACCCTTCCCCTCCCCCCTCCAGGTCTCCCGAGCCGTCCCTGCCTCCTTCAGCCACCTCTTCATCCCCCGCAAGGGCCGCCTCTCCCTCTACGACGCCCTCCGCGACTGCATCCCGGCCGCCGCCCGTAGCGCGGAGCAGACGTTCGGGGGGTACGGGGTGAGGGAGGTGGAGTTCAACAAGGTCCTCGAACACAACGGCTTCACCAAGATCCGCGACCGCTGCATCCTCCCCGACGAGGTGGAGGCGACGGACTTCTCGAGGAGCAGCAGCGCGCGCTACTTCTTCTCCAACCGCCGCTGGAGGAACCCCGACGACCCCCACGAGCTCCAGGAGCTCCGGCAGGCCTGGCTCAAGCTCCGCCAGCTCGCGTGCAGGCTCGGGGCGGACGTGAGCCTGGAGGCGCTGGAGCAGTGCTGCCGGGAGAGGTACGGGGCGTGGGCGGAGATGACGGTGAACTGGAGCAAGGCGCCGCGTCGGGTGTACCGGAAAGGCGAGGACGGGGAGGAAGGGAGGGAGGGGCAAGGGGCAGGAGGGGAGAGGGAAGGAGAGGATGGAGGAGACCGGGGCTGAGGGACCTGCTGGTAGCGGGCAGAATCGAGAGGCTGGGAGCTTTCTACCTGTTCAGAATGATGTCGCGTCCGTCCAGTCAGAGCCGTGGGAGCTTCACCTGCTTGGCGAGGCGAGGGAGGAGGAGGAGAGCTGGCTGGAGGAGGAGCTTACGTTTGTAGGGTGGTGGGAGACGCCGGAGGAGGTGACGGGCTTAGGGAGGACGGGCTGCCATGTATGGCGCGAAGGAGGATGGTGATGGGTTTGGGGTGAGGGACGTTCTGCAAGAGGTATCGGAGGTCTTGTAGATAGGTCACGAGGGGCTCGGGGATGATGGCGAAACAAATAGACGTAAAGTGGTGTTAACATGAGAACAATAATTTGATGATTAAATTGATAGATGTTTCCATTGCACCTCAGCGTTCCTGGAGGTCTTTGCAGATACCTCAAAAGCTCCATCCTGAGCGTGATCTCCCACCAAGAGCAGTTGAGAGAGACATTTGTTCTGTGATTGGAGGCAAACAATTCCTACACCGTCACGCCAACTTGCGGATACATCAATCGACAACGGTCAACCTCTCTGTTCACATACGGACACAACGTTACAACCATGCCGTGGTGCATGCATCTAGCTAGTTGGCTACAAACTTCTTATGCAGTAGGAACCTTTCTTTTTTTTCGGAACCATCAATTCACTCCAACACCTTTCATTCAGTACTTGTGTCGACATGAGCTGACGCCAGTCACGTTACAGTCGGCATCACGATTTCGTTACAATGGACCTCGGTCCGAGCAGTAAAACATCATTTATTATATGCATCGATTCGGAAGCACTATTCAAATCCAGTCTCGATGCATGAAGTACCTTAAATCCCACACTGACTTCACCGCTTCCTCTTTCCGTTGCAGCCCATCATTTGCCTCTCTCTGACAACCACCCGACGGGGGCATCACAGAGATTGGCAGCTGAGCCTGATAAGGCAGCAAAGGTGACGAGAGCTGGACTGGCAGCTGGACTGGTGCGACGAGGAGGGTTGAGCGGTTTACTTTTTGAAAAGATGCCCGTGAGGCGGGCCCGGTTGTAGCACACCCCCCTCTTATAATTATTATTATCATTATTGTTCCGTTTCCGATGGACTAAAAAAGAATGAGGGGATCTGTAGTAAGTTGACGGTCACGTTACCATCGGCATCTCAAACGACGAAATTAAAAAATCTCATTGCGCGAAGCAGGGGTACCTGACAACTGAATCTAGGGGGTAGGGGTCTTGTATCGGGGAAAGTTGCAATGGGGGAATGACGAGCCCTGAGGACCGGTACTAAGGGGAGCATGCGTCAGACCCTGTACCACTCTATCCTCCCTTCCCCTCCCTTTCCCCCCCTGTGCAACTTTATAAAGTAAATAAAGGGCCTCGAGCCCGAACCCGCCTCCCTCCTCCTCCTCTCCCTCTTGCTTGACCTCCTCACCGTGCTTGCTGCATCGGTTGTCGTCCTCTAACCCAGATCTCAAGCACACAGCTGAAAACTCTGAATTCCCTGCCATGGTTCGGCCCTCTGCCTCCCCCGCCTCCAAGGCCGTCGCCCTCGCCTTCGCACAAGCGGTATGCCCCTCCCCCTCATCTCATCTCCTCCCTCCTCTGGCCTGACCCCTGCTCTCAGGTCTCCCGAGCCGTCCCTGCCTCCTTCAGCCACCTCTTCATCCCCCGCAAGGGCCGCCTCTCCCTCTACGACGCCCTCTGTGACTGCATCCCGGCCGCCGCCCGTAGCGCGGAGCAGACGTTCGGGGGGTACGGGGTGAGGGAGGTGGAGTTCAACAAGGTCCTCGAGCACAACGGCTTCACCAAGATCCGCGACCGCTGCATCCTCCCCGACGAGGTGGAGGCGACGGACTTCTCGAGGAGCAGCAGCGCGCGCTACTTCTTCTCCAACCGCCGCTGGAGGAACCCCGACGACCCCCACGAGCTCCAGGAGCTCCGGCAGGCCTGGCTCAAGCTCCGCCAGCTCGCGTGGATGCTCGGGGCGGACGTGAGCCTGGAGGCGCTGGAGCAGTGCTGCCGGGAGAGGTACGGGGCGTGGGCGGAGATGACGGTGAACTGGAGCAAGGCGCCGCGTCGGGTGTACCGGAAGGCGAGGACGGGGACGAGAGGGAGAGGCGCGGGAGAGGAGTGCAAGCAGGGGATGGAGGGTACGATGATGAATGCTGCGGGTGTTGCAAGCGAGAGCAAGGGCGTAGAGGCATGGTCTCCTGCAACCTGGTCGTCGGGAGTGGAGGCCGCGGAGTCTCTGGAGGGAGCGGGGGCAGTGCAAGGCATCATGGTCGAGGACATCAAGTCAGTGAAGTCAGAGCCGTGGGAGCTGAGCCTGCTTGGCGAGGCGAGGGAGGAGGAGGAGAGCTGGCTGGAGGAGGAGCTTCCGTTTGTAGGGTGGTTAGAGACGCCGGAGGAGGTGACGGGCCTAGGGAGGGCGGTATGGAGCGGAGGAGAGCGCGGGAGTGCTTGAAGCTGGAAGGTTTTCATTTAACAGAGCTTGGTGGGGTATAGCTTACTTGCTGCTCTGCATTGTTTTACACAATTTAATGAATGATTGATGATTTACGCTTGCATGGTTTGGCGTGTTTGCAACCATCGTCAAGCTAGTAGCAGCAGTAGCAGTAGCACTAGTCAATCACATTTGTTGCCACTGCATCGTTTACTCTTTTTCTACACAGGTTTCCTCTTATCGTCAGGATGCAAGGAGGGCAAGTCCCAGGAGACTGGCGTTTGCATGCTAATCTGGTTTGCCTGGTTTACGCAGAGTCAAGGAATGTGTTTGATACTGAACTTACTGTCAACTCATTGTCGGCGGCTTGAAGGTGACCAGTCTTAGTCGGCAGCCAACAGTTAACCAGCTACTGCAGTGAATGAGCTACCTCTCCTTGCTTTCCTCGTTCTACAAGCCCGAGCTCTTGTACTGCACCGATCAAGGACCGCCCGTAGCGCGGAGCAGACGTACGGGGGGTACGGGGTGAGCGAGGTGGAGTTGACCTTGTTCTTGTGCTTCTGCTTCTTCACACCTTACGCTGCTTCTACTGACCTTTGTGAGAAAGAATGTCGAACTCGAGAAACAACAATACTTCACCAAGATTTCAATTCTCTCCTAACTACCTGTAATTGAATGCTCAAATCATCACAGTTGGAACCCATCTCGACAAGTCTGCTTGTCGGGAGCATCAAGGGGTGGAGGCCCGGCTTCAACTTCGACGACTGCAGGCATGCAAGAGACCAGCAGGATAAGTCTTCACAACCGGCACGAGGAACTGGTCAACGACGGGACGAATGATGTCAGCAGCAGAGCTGTTGATCGCTTAGATCAGGCTCTTTCAAGAAGTCTTGCAACTCAAGAGAGCTTGTTTCAAGATTGCTTGTCCCAGAATAAAGCTTGCTTTAAACAGTCTAGCTTCGCGTCCTTGAACGATGGTATGCAACCGAACCCAAATTCTTGCTGCTCGTCCTTGTTTGTGCCAAGATGAGCTTGACGTCCAATCTCTCATCACGTGCAGGGCCGGCAGCCAAGTTGAGGACTAACTCAAGCGCCGATGGCCACGTTATCAGTCAAAATTGCCCGACAAAGGCCACGACAAGACGCGCACAGAAAGCCAGTCTGACCCTCCGCCTCGCACAATCGACGATCGTCTCTTCGATGAGCTTAAGATGCTGATGGTAACTTGTTGTCCCATGCGTTGCCTATGACCGGCAAGGTTTCCGTCTCTGCTACCTGCTGACTCAACAATGCCGACGGTAACATGATCAGCCGGAGCAAACATGAGGTCCATTATCCCTGCTCTCTTCTCACGTAAGATTTGTCAGGTCAGGTGGGGGGGGTTGTGTCATCGCTTGCATGTCCCCCCGCGACTGGAGGAGAGAGGAGCGGGTCTGCTTGAAGCCTGCCAACGCCTCAGGGCGGCACAGAAGAGCTTCTGACCGCCTTACACGGAGGTAGACTCCGAGACTACCGGGGGAGACGTAGAGCCTTGATCTTGAGATGCCGATGGTAACGTGACAACCACGACCGCAAGTCTAGTCCGCAAGCTGTCACGTCCCGCAGAAAACTTTATGACGTCTATCGCCTTCTCTCTCGCTCCAGCCACTAGAGCCGCAAGTAGGCGTGCAGATGGCTACGAGATAGGAGCGCTGATCAATACCTCCATGCCGCTTCAAGGCTCACCGCCTCGACCTCCGAGTCTCATCGCTAGTCCGGCACCGTCTGATCGTAAGTCCTCCCCTACCCTTCTAACTGTCATCTCCTCTTCGAGTCGATCATCCTTCCCTACTCTTTGAACTAGCTCTCCGGCCTCCCTCTGCTCTCGTCCAGCTGTACAACCCTCCTCGTCATCTCTCGCCCCCTCTCTCCGACCTCTCGAGCTACAATCAATCCTTGCCACACCTGCACTGACAGCCATTGCAAACGCTCCCTCTACCTGCTGATCCAAACCTCCTCATACCAACTTCTCGGTCCCTCCTATACACTTGTCGCTCCTTCCCAAGTCACCATCATGGCCAAGAACCCCCATGGTAGCCTGCAATGGGGGGTACACAGGGGAAGGGTAGGATGTGAAGCTTACTAGCAAAGCTCTACATGACGGCTGGTTATTTCGAGGCTGGCAAAGGGCCTGTCCTGGTCTGGAATTTACTGCACAGCGAGATGAAGACGAGAAGCTCAAGAGAGAAGAGCAAGAGTCATGACCAGGCATGAAGACGAGCAAGAGTCATGACCAGGCACGAAGACGAGCAAGAGTCATGACGAGGCACGAAGACGAGCAAGAGTCATGACCAGGCATGAAGACGAGCAAGAGTCATGACGAGGCACGAAGACGAGCAAGAGTCATGACCAGGCACGAAGACGAGCAAGAGTCATGACCAGGCACGAAGACGAGCAAGAGTCATGACGAGGCACGAAGACGAGCAAGAGTCATGACGAGGCACGAAGACGAGCAAGAGTCATGACCAGGCACGAAGACGAGCAAGAGTCATGACCAGGCACGAAGACGAGCAAGAGTCATGACGAGGCACGAAGACGAGCAAGAGTCATGACGAGGCACGAAGACGAGCAAGAGTCATGACCAGGCACGAAGACGAGCAAGAGTCATGACCAGGCACGAAGACGAGCAAGAGTCATGACGAGGCACGAAGACGAGCAAGAGTCATGACGAGGCACGAAGACGAGCAAGAGTCATGACGAGGCACGAAGAAGAGGTCACCTGAGGAGATGAAGATGAGATAGGCTGATGAATGCGTTAGCAAAGAGAAGAGTGGCGGAGGAGGGGAGAATGCAAGGGTAGCAAAGTGGGGAAAACATGGAATAGCGTTGGAATAAGGACCGAAGAGGAGGAGACACGCGCATTGCATGAGGGACAAGACAAGAAGATCAAGAGTTCATGGGCTGAGTACTCAGATCGATGGAGTGGAAAACGCTGATGAGGCCGGGAAGGGAGGAGGGAAGGGAGAGCGATAATGAAATCAATAGCTGTCAACAATAGATCAATGCTTCAACAGTGTTTGAAATAGATCAATTTTTCAAGAGCAGTTTCATTGTCTCCATTCTCGAAAGCAGATTGCAGCGAACTAGCGCCTAGTGGAGATGATTGCAAGAATAGGTCTTACATTAAAGAGTATAATATCAATGCTTGAGAGGTATGAGGCTGGGGAGGTAACCACAAGCAGTACGTGATCGATCCTGGTACGTCACAAGCAAACGGATACTTTCCTGCAGTGACTGGAGGCCGCCAGGTCTCGCAATCGTTACGGGGCAGCAGTCTGCGTGAGCATGGAGGGAGCGGTAGCGACCAGGAACCCTCGAAGAGCCGCACATCCTGGCGCACTGATGGTGGAAGGGACGTGACGACAATGCAGCTGGACTCAGGTAGCGTCATCGCCACCAAGTCTTTCTTTGTCACGGTCCGAAGAGTAAAACGACATGTACAAGAGTCGGCACTGACCTCTGCTAACTCCAAGGCTTCGGGAGCTCCAGGGCCACAACCTATCAGATCATTGCAAGTTAGCTGAAGTCCAATCCTGTTTCTTCAAGAAACAACTTGGTTGCTGACGTGATGCGCTGAAGGTCAGTCTGTAGAGATTGATCTCGGAGGCGTTCAAAGAACGCTCGAGGATGAATCTTGGTCATGAGATCTGCAAGGTTACCTTGGGTACTGATATGAAAGATCTCTATGATGCCTTCCTGAGCTTTCTCACGTACATAATGGAATTGCATATCAGAGTGACATGATCTGCCCTGATGGAGGGAGTGTTGAGAAAATTGATTATCCACGTAGATAATGGAAGGAGCTGAAAGAGTATGTGCAGCTCTTGAACCAGGTTGCGCAGATACACTACATTGTAGAACGCCATTGAGAACGCCCGCTTCCATGCTGCTGGTGCCACCCATGATGGCCAGGAGTCGAGACATCGATTTCGTTCCAAGGCCGTCATATGATCCTCAGGATTCTGAGATCAAGGAGGAATCAACGGTTCTCGCAGAAAATGACACTAATCAACGGCTGCTTATTGAACTTGCTGAAAGTCAGGCTAAGATCGCACAGCTGCAGGAAATTGTGGCTGCTTTGAAGGGTCAATGCCAGACGCCAAGTGGGGAAGGACAGGAGAATCGTCATCCATCTTCCACAGGACCAGCGGAACCGAAGAAAGTCAAGAGGCTTTTTGATTCGCGCAACTCGAGGAAATTCAATGGTGAGATGGAAGTGGCCCTGAGTTCTCAGTTGTCAGCTGGTTGGCGACGTTGGAGTTCCAGCTGATGTCTTCCACAGGAGCAGTGGGTCAACTCTGCTAAAGGCTTCACGGGTGAGAATGTGACCAACTGCCTGCTGGAACGCGAGCATGGATAGACAGGAGAAGATGAAGTGGGAGGCATTGAATACAGGACGGATGTCATGGGAAGACTTTACCAAACTCATGAAGAAGATGCGGTTGTCTCCAGATTTTCCGATCCGGCTGATGACTCTATTGCGGGACATGAAGCAGGGCCCGAAAGAGTCAATCTCCAACTTCATTCAGAGATATTCGGCGATGACGAATCTGCTAGTTGCTTTTTCTCCGGATAAGGTATCGTTCGGCAACTTCGTCATCGAACAGATATTTGTGAACAACGTGTCCTCAAGAACTGTTCAATCGCGGCTGATTGAACTGTTGTCACCACTTCGGGAAGCGGCAAGGGCATACGCACAGGAGGCGGGCCAGGAGTACATGGTACCGTTGGCTTCAAGTTGCTACCTACCCACACTGTTCGAGAAGGCAGTTTCTGCGGCCCCGTGCAAAGTTGATACGGCTGCGACAGTGGCACTTGGAGCCGCTCGATCCGGTAAGGAAGACAGGAGCTCTATGAAGCAAAGGATAGGAAGCGGCTCAGGTGTTTCGAGTGCGGAGAAGAAGGGCACATACGTGCGAAGTGTCCGAAACTGACCAGCACTCAGCCTTTGAACGAGGATCGTCGCCTAGCGAAGGGGAGACCCTAGGCGACGCCAACCCCTCCCTCCCCCCTTCCTTCCCTGTGCCATCACTTACACGCTTCCACAGGATCAGCGGTCGCAACGCAAAAACAAATGTTGACCACGCCTTTCAAGGTCCTGCATGGCGGTGTTGGACGGGAGGAAAGAAACGCTGCGTGCACTACTGGATACAGGGGCGGACGAGACCTTCATCGATGAGCAGGTGGCTCGGAGGATGGGGCTCTGGTCGGACTAAAGCGCGCAGCTCGGGTCAGACGAACCCATCGCGGTGGAGATGGTGAACGGTGTTCGTGAGATATCCAATGGATCTGTGACACTTGAGTTTGCTTTGGGACCACGATTCCAGAGTCAGGCAAGGTTCTACATCATCTGCCTCCAGCATACTGACGTGATTCTTTCGTCGATTGACGAGTGGAAAGCAGATGCCCGGTTTAGAAAAGGTCGAGTACAGCTTCCGGTGGAGGTACGACCAGATCATGCGGACAAGTCACGCCGACTGTGCTTGTCTACTGAGGAGTTAATGCATGATATTCGGGCTGGTGAAGTCGTGGAGTTTTATCAGATCAATCTAGCACAGAAGACGACGACTGATGGGAATGATCAAACTCAGTTGTACACCAAACAGCTTCTGAAGGATTACCAGGACGTTGTTGTGGATGAGATCCCGGTGGGAGCGAAGTCAAATCGTGAGTTCTAGGCTAAAATCGAGTTACGTGAAGGTGCTCAACCAGTTCAGAGCAAGCCTTATCCGATTCCAATCGCACTTGAGGGAGACTACAGGAGGCTTTATCGTACATGCTGCAAAGGGATATGAACGAACTCTCATCTCATCGTCAGTCTTCTCTAGCCCTGTGATCTGTGGGAAGAAGAAGGATGGAGCTGCAAGGTTTTGTGTGAACTTGAGGAATATCAATCAAATCGTAGGGAACCATGACTATCCGCTACCGATTGTTCAAGGGTTGATCGAGCGGATTGGACGAAGGATACAACAACGCAAACCCGAGCTGATGCAAGAAGGGGTCTGCCGGAGCAGATCAGAGTCTGTATCTCCAGCATGGACGTCTCTCGTTCATATTGGCAGGTCGAGCTGGAAGAGGGTTTCAAACCCATCACCTCGTTTGTTTGCAAGTTGGGCAAGTTTCACTTTACCAGCCTACCCCTCGGATTGGTCGACTCAGATTCTCAGTTCCAACGCTTCTTAGAGTCAGTGTTGAAAGGCTTGGAGGATACATTCTCGTACATTGACGATGTGACATCAATTTCAGTCGGGACGATACAAGATCATCATCGTCAGATCCGAGGTGTTCTGGACCAATTTTGGAAGGAGACGCTTTTTGTGAAGAAATCAAAATGTCAGTTCTTTGTCAATGAGCTGGATTTCTTGGGATTTCGTATTGGAGAATCAGGAATTCGTACGCAACAGCCGAAGGTGGAGGCTATTCTGGCGCGACCGGCGCCTAGCAACGTGAAAGAAGTGAAATCTTGGCTGGGAGTAGGGAACTACTATAGGCGATTTATCCCTGAGTTCGCGGAGCTAGACATACCCCTGACCAATCTTTTGAAGGAGAATTTCAAGTTTGTGTCGGACGAGGCTTGCCAAGCGTCCCTAGATCAGTTGAAGAAGGCGTTCGTCAACCTCCGGTTCTTCAATATTTCAATCCAGATTTGCACCCCATCTGTTTGTCGATGCAAGTGATAAGGCGATTGGAGCAACAGTGATGCAACAGTCAGACGGACAAACATTTCTACCTGTGGGCTTCTGCAGCAAAAGATTGAACCCGGCACAGATGAACTATCCTGTTCGTGAACGAGAATGTTTAGCGATTGTGTCGGCCTTGCTGCATTTTCAATACTTTCTGTATGGGCAGAAAATTGTCATCCATACGGACCATCAGAGTTTGAAATACTTGCTTTCTCAGAAGTGTCTGAAAGGACGGTTGTTCAGGTGGACTCAACTACTTGCGGACTACACTCTCGAAGAAGTGCAGTATTTCCCTGGAACCGAGAACGTCTTGGCTGATTTTCTTTCGAGACCTTCTGACCTAGTAGGGACAGAGAGTGGAATAGTGATGGCTGAGTCATCTACCATCGCTGATGATACTCCTGGAAGATTCAATTCAGATCCCACGGTATTTGCAGTGAACAACATTCAACCTTGGATGTTGGCTCTCAGCCTCCTGCTCCCATCGTCGCGGCAGATGGTGACTTCTACGGAGTGAAAAAGATTTTGCGTCGTCGGGGCTCAGGCAATCGTACAGAATATCTTGTTCGATGGGAGGGCTATGATGATCCTATTCAAGATTCTTGGCTCCCATCTTCTGAGTTACGAGCGCCTACTTTGCGCAAGATGGTGCGCGACTTTAATGATGCTCTGCGTCGACATTGATCTTTTGAGGTTGCTTGCTTTCTTTAACTTCAACAGCGAAGTACTTGGTTGCTCCAAGCTCAACAAGCTTGCAAGTGGGAACGAAATGTTACGAAAAGGTTACCGTAAGTTTCTGCCGGCCGTTGTTCTTCTGGTAGTCATTTTGATTTGAGAATGAAACGATGCGATTGACTGTCCCAGATTTTGCTTTTCGAATGGGTAGGCACTATATGGAAATATACTATTAGCTCAATCGAGAAAAATTGTTAGAATGTAGGGAGGGTACGCTGCTATATGAGCAGTCAGGGGACCCCACCCCCTGTCAGTATATATTGAAAGCACCTGTGAATATTTCGGGTTAAATTTCAAATCACTTTGAATAAAGTCAAAAACTTGGAATCTGGGAGCCGGCGGGAAACGGCCCTAAAAGGCCTTTCTGACCGAGGACGTCGTTTGTTCTAGACAGGTTCAGGCAGAGGCAGTGGTGTGTGTGTGTGCTGGTAAAACTCTTTCTCTACTTCCTTGTTGTGAGTTGAGAGATCAGATAGTAACAGTAGATCCACGTCCTAACAAAAAGACAAGTACACGACAGAGAAGAAAATATCAAATCTGATTGTATTAAAAAGGCAGGCAAGGCAGGCATATTCGAGAAGAAATACCGAGAAACTCTTTCCTTAAACTTCATGCCGCCTCAGTGCGCTGTTGAGTCGATGCTTTTACATGTGCAATCTCATGTCTCATCTAAATATCTCTCAGCCGAGCTTTCTAATGATCGAACTATCATGTCTGATCAAGCTTACTCTGTCCACTTACACCCGCAAGACTTTGCCTACGGTAAATGCCTTCCAATCCTGCTGTCGTCTCATTCACGCTATTCAAAGTCCCGGGATCAGCTTTCATCGCTCTCCATCTTGCAAACTTATCTGTCTCTCCCTCTTCTCTCGTACGCTTCCCCCGCTCCCCCTTCGTAGGCTCCGCAGCTCCAACATCCACCTGCTCAGGCTGTCTCCCTACAAGCGACTTGAAGCACATTTATTGTTCTACCGCTTCAACACAAACATTCATATCAGCCCTGGGTGACTTAACGCGAATTGACTCGCCTCCTACGCTCCCTCCCTCCACGTCCCCGCTTGCTCCCTATACAGACCCTCTCCTCTTTCTTCAAGCCCATCCCCATCCGTCGCTCCACACAGAGCAGACCGTCCTCCCTAAGCCCGTCACCTCCTCCGGCGTCTCCCACCATCCTACCCGCGGGAGCTCTTCTTTCTCCAGCAAGCTCTCCTCCTCCTCCTCCCTCGCCTCGCCTGGGATGCTCAGATCGAAGGGCTCCTCCTTGACAGACATGACACCAGGCCAGACGCTGGACAAGCCATCGAATGCGATCTCATCCTCGTCGTGTGCCTCAACCGATCTTGTTTCTGACCCCTCCTCCACCCACGCCCCCTCCTTCCCAGAGACTTTCTTCCCTTCCAATCCATCCTTCTTGCCTGCCTTGTGCTTGTTGCGGTACACCCGACGCGGCGCCTTGCTCCAGTTCACCGTCATCTCCGCCCACGCCCCGTACCTCTCCCGGCAGCACTGCTCCAGCGCCTCCAGGCTCACGTCCGCCCCGAGCCTCCACGCGAGCTGGCGGAGCTTGAGCCAGGCCTGCCGGAGCTCCTGGAGCTCGTGGGGGTCGTCGGGGTTCCTCCAGCGGCGGTTGGAGAAGAAGTAGCGCGCGCTGCTGCTCCTCGAGAAGTCCGTCGCCTCCACCTCGTCGGGGAGGATGCAGCGGTCGCGGATCTTGGTGAAGCCGTTGTGCTCGAGGACCTTGTTGAACTCCACCTCCCTCACCCCGTACCCCCCGAACGTCTGCTCCGCGCTACGGGCGGCGGCCGGGATGCAGTCGCAGAGGGCGTCGTACAGGGAGAGGCGGCCCTTGCGGGGGATGAAGAGGTGGCTGAGGGAGGCAGGGACGGCTCGGGAGACCTGAGAGTAGAGGTGAGGTCTGAGGAGGAAAGGGTCATGAGGAGAGGAGGGGCATACCGCTTGGGCGAAGGCGAGTGCGACGGCCTTGGAGGCGGGGGAGGCAGAGGGCCGGACCATGGATGTATCGTACTGTGTGAGATGTGGGGGAAGTGCCAAGTGCTGTTGCAGGGCCAAGGGAGGTATGTGGGTACGGATACTACTTGAGGGAGAGGGAGAACACTTGGGGACACGCCAGGGAACGGGGAGAGTACACCCCACCCCCATTCGCTTCCGCACCCGTTTTCCCCTCGAAAATAGACCGGTACTCCGCAAATACATTTTGATCTCCCACCCCCTAGATTGCCCTTGTTTTCACCCCTACTCGATGAGATTTCATAAAATTGCCTTTTAGGCACCGAAAATTAAGATTCCGATGGTAACGTGACCGTCAACTTACAGTTCAGCAGTAAAGAAAAAAATAGTAATTTTTCTTTTTTCGGGATCTTCCTGGGTCAGTAATAAACGACTGTACACTGCCACCCCCCTTGCGGACACAATTTTCAGGGGTCCTTCCATGGGGAGCCTCCGACAATTTTGTGTGCGGAAGTTCACACGGAAAGTTCCGGGCTGGCCTCAGGCAGATACTATTATTTTATATCACTCTCTCCTGGATCATCCGTTATCATTCCGTTATGATGGGCGCAGGGACCATTAGGTCCAATTGTGTGTGGTACTAATTTTTACTCAAGCGGCCCTGCAGATTTCAAGAACTTTCAGTGAATCTTCGTAAAAGTCTATTTTAGCTGAATCGCGCGATTGTGAAACGTTGAGTTTGAATATGATCGTGCAAGCCTCTATGTGAAGCCTCGGGTGGGGAGACGGGCACGAAAACTTATACCTCGAAAACCGGTCCGCCGGACCCGGGCGGTCACGGTGGCGACCGGAGGCGCCGAGGCTGGGAGGCCGCCGTGGAAAAGCTCACAATAGCAAAGTTAAACTTTAGTAAAGCCAGTTGCTGGTTGTATGAAGCTCTTTGAGGACTCAGAAAAAAAGGCAAAAACCGACCGGAGGGAGGAAAGTTTTTGGTTCAGATATAGCGCATGTTTTTTTCCTGTACTCCCGATCCGACGGAATCTCGAGAGCTCTTGGCGGTATCAATGACTGGGTGCATTATACTCCGGCTGGTGCCGAACCTCGCCTTGCTGAAAGAAGTGGTACTCAGTCGACGAAACGGTGTGAGATCATTCGGCAATAAGCGTAAAAGTAGTTTTAGTTGTCAACTATAAGTCCTCCTTTGCCGTTCCCCCCTCTTCATCTCTCCTTCCCCGTCCATCCAAGCCATCAATCCCCTTCAACAGCAGATCAAGCCACCTCATTACTCTCCTCGCCCCTTGCTACCTCCCGTCGTTGAAGACATTCCACCATGGTTCGGCCCTCTGCCTCCCCCGCCTCCAAGGCCGTCGCCCTCGCCTTCGCCCAAGCGGTATGCCCCTCGCCTCCTCTCCTCCTCTGCTCTGCTCTGACACCTGCTCCCTTCAGGTCTCCCGAGCCGTCCCTGCCTCCCTCAGCCACCTCTTCATCCCCCGCAAGGGCCGCCTCTCCCTCTACGACGCCCTCTGCGACTGCATCCCGGCCGCCGCCCGTAGCGCGGAGCAGACGTTCGGGGGGTACGGGGTGAGGGAGGTGGAGTTCAACAAGGTCCTCGAGCACAACGGCTTCACCAAGATCCGCGACCGCCGAGTCATCCCCGACGTCCTGGGGGAGACGGACTTCTCGAGGAGCAGCAGCGCGCGCTACTTCTTCTCCAACCGCCGCTGGAGGAACCCCGACGACCCCCACGAGCTCCAGGAGCTCCGGCAGGCCTGGCTCAAGCTCCGCCAGCTCGCGTGGAGGCTCGGGGCGGACGTGAGCCTGGAGGCGTTGGAGCAGTGCTGCCGGGAGAGGTACGGGGCGTGGGCGGAGATGACGGTGAACTGGAGCAAGGCGCCGCGTCGGGTGTACCGCAACAAGCACAAGGCAGGCAAGAAGGATGGATTGGAAGGGAAGAAAGTCTCTGGGAAGGAGGGGGCGTGGGTTGAGGAGGGGTCAGAAACAAGATCGGTTGAGGCACACGACGAGGATGAGATCGCATTCGATGGCTTGTCCAGCGTCTGGCCTGGTGTCATGTCGGTCAAGGAGGAGCCCTTCGATCTGAGCATGCCAGGCGAGGCGAGGGAGGAGGAGGAGGAGAGCTTGCTGGAGAAAGAAGAGCTCCCGCGGGTAGGATGGTGGGAGACGCCGGAGGAGGTGACGGGCTTAGGGAGGACGGTCTGCTCTGTGTGGAGCGACGGATGGGGATGGGCGTGAAGAAAGAGGGTCTGTATAGGGAGCAAGCGGGGACGTGGAGGGAGGGAGCGTAGGAGGCGAGTCAAGTCAAGTTAAGTAGCAATGTCATTTTCCAGGTCTGATATGAATGTTTGTGTTGAAGCGGTAGAACAATAAATGTGCATCAAGTCGCTTGTAGGGAGACAGCCTGAGCTTAACAAATCACTATGCCAACACTTAAACGCTACTTCATCAATCACTACGCCAACTCAACGCTACCAAATTGTGTCACAACCCGACTTTTACTGGTTGCAGACGTCTACAGTGAATGCTCAAAGCACCTCCGCTGGATCGCACACAAAGGTGAAGAGTAGAAATATGAAGTTCATGATAACACCAACACACTATCGATTCGTTGCACACACAGCAAGGGAAAGGACAGACCACCTGAGCAGTTGTTCACGATCGTTTTATAGTCGAGGGGAACCACCAGGGGTGGCGAGGCTCTCGAAGATTCTCGAGTGGACCTTCAAGCGCAGTTCAATAAGAACTCACGTTGGATTTCTCTACTAAGAGGGAAAGCGGTGAAACAGAAGGAGATCTAACTCTCTTTTATTTCTTTCACACACACACACAAAACAAGACAAGACGATACACACAAAGACGTCTCAACAATCGTGGCACACACACGAAAGGGGAAGAGGACCCCCTAGCTCTGACGAGTTTCATCCTTTTATAGCTTCGAGGAATGAGCCAGGGGTGCCGTCTCTTGGCTACAGAAAGGAGGGGTGTCCTGTTCTTGGAAGTTGACAAGCATCCCTTCTGACCTTCGAGAGGATACCATGCTCTCTCGCAGGGAAGAGAACCCCGTCCTTGCATGGCAGCAAGCTGCTTCCAACGGGTCGTACTGCACAAGACGCACCCCTTCTGTTTACCTTGTAAGTCCCCCACGGGTACACGGTTGCTGCAACAAAGGCCTCCACAGGGGTCCTTTCAGCAGCTTCACACTGGAGTAGAGTATCCTGGGTCATCCAGGAGAAGTCAGCTTCGAACACGAGTACGAGACAGCCAACTGTCCTTTCATCCTGATAGGCCTTTGTCTGACTCGGGCTCGGTTCCTATGAGCTCTGACACGCTCTTCTCTGCGCTTTCTTGGAGTGCTCAGGACTCAGAAAACTTCGCTTTCTCAGCTTGTCAAATCTGTTTTTCCTCTGACACGCTCCAGGCGCAGCACGTAAAATTCCTAATTGAGAGGCGCACGACGCTGCCGCTGCCGCTGTAGATTGCTGCTCGCTCGAAGACGCCTAAGCGCCGTCCTCAGGTGCATTTTGCTGAAGAACTGGAAGATGAAGTGCCTCTGGACGGTGACGCTCTCGAGGTACACTTGCATCCGATTGCACTCCACTCCCTTGGCTCTCAGGAGCACGGGGCGTCTTCAGGATCGCTTCTATATCTGCCCATTGTACCACTCACCTCTCCGGTGCCAGCTGCTACTTCCGAGATCCTGGCTTTGCTTGACTCGGGTGCTGAGATCAGTGTGATCTCGCGTCAGGTTGCGCGACAGCTCCAATTGACCACACAGCGAATTCCCGCCACGCTTACCGCTCAGTTCGCTCATGGCGACGCCCAGGTCGTGCTTCGTGAAACCTGCCTCCTGCCGTTTCGCATTGCAGGCACCAATGTTGAAACGCAAGAAACGTTCTTCATTTTGGACTCTCCAGCGTCACTGCCGGCGATTTTGTCCCAACCGTTCATTGCCAAGATGAAAATGAATATCGACTTTCATTCCAAGCTCGTTACTATTCCAGCGCAGGATGGTACTGCGGGGCGTCAACGCCTTCCGCTCGCATTTCACATCCCTGGTCCTGGCTCCGCGGCTATGCGGCAAGCCCAGTGTTTGATTTTTCCCTGGCATGCGGACTGGAACACGCTTCAGCCTCCTCCACCTGAGGATATGATGCCCTGGGTCATGGCGACCGTGTCCTCGCCTGTTTCTACCAGTTCATTGGTCTCTCAGGTCGCCTCGTCGGCCTCGCCGCTCGCAGCTCCGGCCTTGCAGGAGCTACTCGAGGATTTTTCCGATGTTCTGGTGGACGAACTACCAATCCAGCCACCTGTCTCGCGGGGGCAGTATGACGTTGTCCTTCGGGTTCCTGATGACGTTCGTCCAATTCGTCGTCGTCCCTACCGACTTCCGGCGACGCTCCAGGAGGAGCTCGCTAAAACGATCGACTTCTTGTTGGCACGCGGCATCATCGAGCGGAACAATGATGTCATGTGGCAGAGTCCCGTCATCTTTGTTCGCAAAGGTCTTTCCTCTGAAGGAGTCCCTCAATTTCGTTTTTGTATTGATTATCGAGGAGTCAACAATCACCTCCTCGACGACAGTTTTCCGCCTCCCGTCCCTACCGAGCTCATGGAACGTATCGGGCGCGTGCTCTCGCAGCGTACTGTGTCCAGTACGGATACCCTCTACTTCAGCAAGCTGGATATGGCCTCAGGATTCTGGCAGCTAGCTCTCACTCCTGACAGCTCTCAATATACTGGGTTTGTTACTGAACAAGGATCCTACCAATTCCGCGCTCTGCCCTTTGGTCTGAAAACGGCCACAGCTGCCTTCCAGAAGTTCTCACAGGGCATCCTCGCAGGTATGAACAACGTCTTAGTCTACGTCGATGATCTCTTAATCTTTTCCATGGGTAATCCTCGTTCACACCTACAGCAGGTGCGTCTCCTACTGGAGCGCCTCCGCCACCACCAGGTCTTCGTTAAACGGAGCAAGTGTGTGTTTCTTCAGACGCAGATCAGTTTTCTCGGATATACTTTGAATGCGCATGGGATTGCACCCGAGGCTAGCAAAGTTGCTGCCATCGAAGATTTTCCGCCTCCTGCATCTGTGAAACAACTTCGCCAATTTTTAGGCCTCGCCAATTTTTATCGGCGTTTCATCAAGAATTTTGCCAACTATGCTGCACCTCTCTCAGATCTGCTGAAAACCAGTCAACGTCGCTTCGTGTGGACTCGGTCTGCTGAGACTGCTTTTGCCGCGCTCAAGACAGCTCTTACGCAGGCTCCAGTCTTGGCTCACTTCCGTTCTGATCGGCTGACCATCCTGTACACAGACGCTAGCGACCTGGCCATTGGAGCCGCGCTTCATCAGATCGATGAAAACAACGAGGAACATCCCGTTGCATTTTATGGCAAGAAACTCTCCTCCGCCGAACGCAATTACTCCACCTATGAGCGTGAGCTTCTTGCTCTCAAGGAAAGTCTCCGTCATTTTTCCTACTACTTGATTGGTCGTCGCTTTCGTGTATGTACCGATCACCACAGCTTGATCAGATTGAACACCCAGTCTGAACTCTCTCCCCGCCTGGCTCGTTGGTTGTCTACCTTCCTTCAGTACGACATGGAGATCCACCACATCCCTGGCGAAACTAACGTCGTTGCTGATGCCCTCAGTCGGATCTCAGGCGACTCGCCTGCTCCATCGTTCGCTCCCCAATCACCCGCTGATCTGACTCAGGCTCATGATCGCGCTATGCGCGCTGAAGACATTGCTCGGGATCTTCTTGTTGGTCTTCATACCGTTCAGATGCTTACGGATTCCTCGTTCGTCTCCCAACTGATGCAAAACTACTCCACCTGTCCTGACTTTCAGGTTTTATACCAACTGGGCAAAGACGGCGAATTGCTCGGCCAACCGGGTTGTCGTCATTTTGAATTTTCGGATGACTTGCTCTACTATGTTGATTCTACCGGCAGGACGAGGATCTGTGTTCCTACCGCTATCCGCGCGGCTGTACTACGCCTTGCACACGATGATGCCGGACATGTTGGTTCTGACAAGACCTACCTCTCACTTGTTGCCAAAGTCTACTGGAATAACATGAAGCGTGATGTCGAAAATTACGTGCATTCCTGCCTCATTTGCCAGGCTGCGAAGAACTACAAACAGAAACCCATCGGTTTGCCCAAGAGTCATGACGTTCCTGCTGACAAATTTGACGTCATCTCCGTCGATCTCCTCAGCGGACTTCCGACTACCTCCCAAGGTCATGATTCTCTCTTCGTCATGTTGGACTCGTTCTCGCAACATGTCACGCTGGCTCCAACTCACAAGTCTGCTACGACCCAGGAACTTGTGGATTTATTTCTCCAATACTTCTATCGCACTCGTGGTCTTCCTGCTGCAATCCTTTCGGATAATGGGCCAAATGTCTCCTCGCATTTTTGGGATACAGTATTTCAGACGCTAGGTGTTCAGGTACGCCACTCTTCCAAGTACTATCCCCAGGCCAATGGTCGCGTTGAACGGATCAATGCCACCATTCTGGATATGCTCCGCACTAAACTCGCTCAGGGTTCATCTGAATGGACAGTCCATCTTCCATTCATTGAGTTTGCCCTCAATCATGCCCCCCGTCGTGAAACAGGGTTATCTGCCTTTCAAGTGGAATACGGCAAGAATCCGCGCTCAGTTATGGATTTGACCCTTGATCAGGTTCTTCCTCAAGCCCGCACGACTGTCGACAACATACGTGCAGGTGAAAACCTTGTGCGAGATACCTTGGCCTCCATCGCCAATCGAGCAGAGACGCGTCTACTTCCTTCTCGCCGCCCGCTTCGATGGCAAGTTGGTGATTTGGTCTGGATCGACGCGCGTTTATTCAATCAGCAGTTTGAAATTCGCAAATTTCGAGATCGATACATTGGTCCTTTCCCTATCACCGAGGTTTGCAACAACAACAATTATCGAGTTGATGTTCGCCAGCGTTTCCCTCGCATGGATCAAGATGTTTTTAATGCCAAGTTCCTACGCCCCCATGTGCGCAGGAAAGATCATTTGCAGCAGCCTGTGGTTTCCCAACCTGTACCTGGATTCTACGAAGTGGCTCGCATCATCAATCATCGTCAACGTAATGGTGCGAAGCAATATCTGGTTCGTTGGAAGGGATTTTCCTCCGCCGACGACACTTGGGAACCTGTTGCCCATCTCTCGCGTACACCGGCGCTCCGTCAGTTGCTTCAGCAATATGAACAGCATCGCACGCGTCAAGATGCTTCTGCTTCTTCTCATGGACAGCGGCAGCGGCAGCGTCGTGCGCCTCTCAATTAGGAATTTTACGTGCTGCGCCTGGAGCGTGTCAGAGAAAAAAAACAGATTTGACAAGCTGAGAAAGCGAAGTTTTCTGAGTCCTGAGCACTCCAAGAAAGCGCAGAGAAGAGCGTGTCAGAGCTCATAGGAACCGAGCCCGAGTCAGACAAAGGCTTATCAGGATGAAAGGACAGTTGGCTGTCTCGTACTCGTGTTCGAAGCTGACTTCTCCTGGATGACCCAGGATATTCTACTCCAGTGTGAAGCTGCTGAAAGGACCCCTGTGGAGGCCTTTGTTGCAGCAACCGTGTACCCGTGGGGGACTTACAAGGTAAACAGAAGGGGTGCGTCTTGTGCAGTACGACCCGTTGGAAGCAGCTTGCTGCCATGCAAGGACGGGGTTCTCTTCCCTGCGAGAGAGCATGGTATCCTCTCGAAGGTCAGAAGGGATGCTTGTCAACTTCCAAGAACAGGATACCCCTCCTTTCTGTAGCCAAGAGACGGCACCCCTGGCTCATTCCTCGAAGCTATAAAAGGATGAAACTCGTCAGAGCTAGGTGGTCCTCTTCCCCTTTCGTGTGTGTGCCACGATTGTTGAGACGTCTTTGTGTGTATCGTCTTGTCTTGTTTTGTGTATGTGTGTGAAAGAAATAAAAGAGAGTTAGATCTCCTTCTGTTTCACCGCTTTCCCTCTTAGTAGAGAAATCCAACGTGAGTTCTTATTGAACTGCGCTTGAAGGTCCACTCGAGAATCTTCGAGGTGCACGAGCGAGCATCCCTTGTGCGTCCGCTTAGATCTGCTGCCTGCTCCTCCTCGAGGTTCATCCGATCGTACAGTACAGGAGATACCACCCGTACTTGGCACACTCTGTCGCCCAACAGGGGTTGTACATCAGAGGTCCAGTAGCCGTCAGAGCCCTTGCTGCCCTCGTGGCTGTAAGAGAAGAACAAAGCTCCTCGAGTCTTGCTGCCCACTCCTGCTCAATAAGATTCCTTCCTGCGGAGGCTTGAATCGCCTTCACAGAGTTCTTATAAGGTCGATGTTGGAGCTGGCGAGCCTACGAAAAACCAAAAGAGCCTCGGAGGGAAGAGGGAGAGACAGATAAGTTTGCCAGTTGCAAGATGGAGAGCGATGAAAGCTGATCCCGGGACTTTGAATAGCGTGAACGAGAGATATTCAGATGAGACATGAGATTGCACATGTAAAGGCATCGAAACAGCGCACTGAGGCTGCGGCGGCATGAAGTTCAACTGCCAAGGAAAGAGTTTCTCGGTGCTTCTTCTCGAATGTGCCTGTAGGTGTAGACTGTCAAGCCACTTCCGTATCTCTTAGGCTCAGTGCCCGGCCCGGCCGCCCAGCACTGCCCGGCCGCAAGCGGCCCGGCCGCCGGGTACTTACAGTCTCGTACTGATTTTTAACTTAACTTTGAGTAAAGACAGTGTAAGATTCTCAGTAGTGCGGACTACCGGTCAGCGCGATCACGTGGCGGCCGGACCCGGCGGCGCAGGGAGGCGCAGTGACTACCAGTTTTTTTTTCCCTATACTCCCGATCCGACGCGATCTCAAGAACTCTTGACGGTCATGTCTACGGCAGCGGGTACATTATACTCCGGCTGGTGCCGAACCGTGCCATCTCGGCACTTCGTTGGATTCCGGGGGGCAGGGGGGGGTACTCGACGAAACGGTGTGAGATCATTCGGCAATAAGCGTAAAAGTAGTTTTAGATATAACTATAAGTCCTCCCGCACCTCCCCCCCCTCTTCATCCGACCACAAGCGTTTCCTCCTGTCCACTCCTTCTCCGTCCATCCAAGCCATCAATCCCCTTCAACAGCAGATCAAGCCCCCTCATCACTCTCCTCGCCCCTTGCAACCTTGTTGAAGACTTTCCATCATGGTTCGGCCCTCTGCCTCCCCCGCCTCCAAGGCCGTCGCCCTCGCCTTCGCCCAAGCGGTATGCCCCTCTCCTCCTCTGCTCCTCTGCTCTGCTCTGACACTTGCCTTCCTTTCCCTTCAGGTCTCCCGAGCCGTCCCTGCCTCTCTCAGCCACCTCTTCATCCCCCGCAAGGGCCGCCTCTCCATGTACGACGCCCTCTGCGAATGCATCCCGCCTGCCGTCCGCTCGCAAAGCCAAGTCGTGGGAGGGTACGGGGTGAGGGAGGTGGAGTTCAACAAGGTCCTCGAGCACAACGGCTTCACCAAGATCCGCGACCGCTGCATCCTCCCCTACGAGGTGGAGGCGACGGACTTCTCGAGGAGCAGCAGCGCGCGCTACTTCTTCTCCAACCGCCGCTGGAGGAACCCCGACGACCCCCACGAGCTCCAGGAGCTCCGGCAGGCCTGGCTCAAGCTCCGCCAGCTCGCGTGCAGGCTCGGGGCGGACGTGAGCCTGGAGGCGCTGGAGCAGTGCTGCCGGGAGAGGTACGGGGCGTGGGCGGAGATGACGGTGAACTGGAGCAAGGCGCCGCGTCGGGTGTACCGGAAGAAGCGCAGCAACAAGAGGCAGGCCCCAGCCGCTACTAAGCCAGCAGACTCTGACAACCTCAGCTCGTTCCTGCGTTATGCGACAACTTGCTCGCCGACGTGCTCGTCTCTGTCGGGGGACAGCGAGACCGACGACCCGGCTGGACGTCAGTCGTGGGAAGCTGGCAGGGAGCTGCAGGAGAGCTCCGACAAACTTGAAGGCAGTTGTAGCTTGGGGGAAGGAGAGGAGCCGAGCTTTGAGCACGATAGCGCAGACTCAGGATGGCTCGAAGCCGACTCGCCGCTAGTTCCCGATGCAGCCCCAGAGGTGCTTCAAGGGTTCGCAAGCTTTCAGAGCTCACTGGGGGCAGGAGAAGCAGATATTGATGTATGTTTGTGGGATGGCTATAGTCTTAGCTTATCCGAGAATCATTGGCAATGATGCAGCTCAAGTTAATTCCGGATCCGACGGCACAGTGATGGCCCGGACATTGAAAGTTCGGCAGAGTCCCGGAACCGTTGGACCGTGACCGTACAGTACTCTTTAAGTTCACTGCCCGCCTGTGACTTAGTCACAAAGTGAATTTAGTGATGGGCACCAGAGATTAGCGAGTGTTTGGCACTGTGCGTAAGTTCTAGTATGCTGACTTGGATCAGCTGATGTCTGTCATCATTTAGTTTGGCTCTGTATTAATACACTGCTAGTCTTACAAACTTGAACTTGACCCTGTGACTTGCAGTGCCAGTTGACTGTATTCCGTCAGTCGGCTGCGGCTAGGCTCGGCCGCAGTCTGACCGTCAGTCTGACTACGGCACGGTAGCCTGAGTCCGGCCTTCAGCCTACTAGTAGTCCGGCCGCCGGCCGACCGTCGGAGTCGGGCCCAGTCCGGCTGCAGTAGTCCGGCCGCCGGCCGACTCGGAGTCAGGCCCAGTGAGCTGCCCCGGTGGCCGAGCCCAGTGAGCTGCACAGTGACTGAGCTGCGCACTGTGCTGCACACTGAACTGCACACTGAAGCTGCACTGAAGTCCGATCGATGGTTTGAGTGGGGATGAGGTTAATTTTCGATCTAACCGTGGGTTTGGGTGTGAAACTATCTTCACCCCTCTGGTAGCAAACTAGACCCACCCTTGAGGTCAAACATGACCTTATTACCCATCAATTAGGCTGAAATTCAAACATAAAAAGGGGGTAATGTATATACCCCTTAATATGTATACCCTACCCTTTGTATTGTATACCCACCCTTCTCATATCACACCCCCTGTCACCTAGAGTTCAAATGGAGCGCCCACCTCACCACCTTCTGATTATGGTACGTGGGTGGATGGACCCACCACAAGAGACCTATACCCTCCTCAAGCAACTATACCTCTTGATGTACCCCAATTTGATCTATAAAGTACCCCTTTATATTAACAATAATGATCAGGGGTAGTGAACAGTACCCCCAATGTTCCAAAAAGGACCCGTCCTTTTGATAGAACTTCATTCCTATGACCCCCCCGTCCTTCCTGCTGAGCTACTTTTCTGCCTCCCCCCCCTCCTGCCCACTGCCCTTGTCGCAGAAACTCCTGCTCCTCCTCCCTTCCGCCCTCCCTCCCTCCACATGCCTCCCTCTGCCACATTCATCGTCGATCTCCTGCACTGCTTGCTCCTGTCTCGTGCTGCACTCCTTTCCCTGTGACTTGCCCTCTGCCGATTGTTTCCGCAGCCTGTATTCGCACCTCTCCTACCGCCAAACTCCTGCTTCTCCCACCCTCAGATATCCTCCTTCTCTCAACATCTTCCTCCTACATACTCCTATCATTCAGCTCCCTGGTTCTCAAGAGCTCATCGTTCCAGCTGCTTCCGTTGTCATCGCCTGCTCTCCCTCCCTCCTTCCCCCTCGCTTCTTCCCCTTCCCTTCCCTCCCCAGATCCTCCTTTCCCGCTAACATCAACCTCCTGCTCTGCAGTTGACTGCACCCTCCTTGACAAGATCAACGGCTTCGCCTGCCATATGCGTCTCTACATCTGATCCGATCCGACTACTTACGTCTCTCCGCCGCCTCCGCCTGCCTCTACCTTTTGTAAGGTGAAAGACATGGACGGGTTTGTAGACAAGGAATTTCTGTCTCAATTCAAGGATAATCCAAAGAAGGCGGTCAAAAGGTTGATAGATTCTGGACGTCTGGAGAGAGATCCAGAGACGATTTCGAATCTATTGCTCTATACCGACGGACTGGACGATACAGCAGTAGGAGATTACATCGGAGATGGGTAGGTCACGAACAACATAGATGAAAGCGCTCGTATCCTTCTGTTCCACTTGTTGTTGGTTGATTCACCACTGTTGTGAACGACTTCATCCGTTCTTCCGAGCTTGTTTCATCATGACTGTGTCCTACAGTGACGAGCTCTGCGGGAAAGTACTTCACCACTACGTCGGAACTTTCAACTTCACAGGGCTCGGCTTCGACGATGCCCTCCGAAAGTTCCTCTCCGCTTTCCGTCTGCCAGGTAGGTCGACGCTGCTCAAACTCCATGCTGATCAAGGGTTGGCAGGAGAAGCGCAGAAGATTGAGAGAATCATGGACGCGTTTGCTGCTCAGTTCCATAGGAACAACCCTCGTGCTTTCCGCCATCCTGACACTGCGTTCAAGCTAGCATACTCGGTCATCATGCTTAACACAGATGCGCACAACCCGGCGATCAAGCAGAGCAGGAAGATGACGAAGGAGCAGTTTGTGAGGAACAACAGGGGGTTGGACGATGGGCATGACCTCCCCCAGGAGTTTCTTGAGATCATTCACGATCGGTACGTTGTGTCTCGTGATTTTGAATGTCATCTTGTGCAGATCGTCGTCTTGATTATTTATCTTGGTCTGAGTCTTTTGCGTCTCATCATGATGGTGTTTACTCTTCTCTATCCCCATCACGGTTTTGATTCTTTTTGTTGATCTCCGTTGTTTCCTTTGTTGCTCTCCTCACCCGAATCTTTTTATCAACATCTTACTTTATCTTCAATTTCATCCTTTCCTTGTCTTCACCTTCACCTTCACCTTCACCTTCACCTTCACCTTCACCTTCACCACCTTCATTTTCACCTCCATCTTCATCTTCATTTTGCTGGTTACCTTGGAATGGACTTCTTCTATCCTTCTATCTTTCTGTTCATTTAATCTTCATCACCTCGTCGTCATCTTTTCTCTACTCTACGTCTGCACGAGCTATGTGACCTGTCATTGTGTTTTATTCCAAATACGAATCAAAGAATCGCATCTCTTATTCCTGCTGCTGCTGCTCCTCCTCCTCCTCCCCCTCCTCCCCACCCTCCTCCTCCTCCTCCTCCCCACCCTCCTCCTCCTCTTTTTCTTGCTGCTGCACCCACTGCTGCTGCTGCTGCTGCTGCTGCTCTTGTTCCGTGCCCTTGCTGTTTCTGAATTGGACATCACAAGAATCGTGGCCAACGAGATTAAGATGCAGCCGTACAAGAACGATGCGGTAAATGTTTACAGCTATATCCCTCTTGTTTGTGCCTCCGATTTCCTTCTCATGACTGTCGCACCTTTCGAAGGGAGATAAGAGCATACTGGCATATACAAACCCGCACAAGGCTGGTTGGTTGAAGAAGGAAAGTGGGAGATTCAAGGTGTGTACATGACGACAGTCTGTATTCCATCTTGGTTGGTTGTTAACACGTTTCAACTGCAGAATTGGAAAGAACTCTGGTTCATCCTGAAAGATTCCTGCCTGTATTACCTGCGCAAACCTCCTGTCTGGGGAGCCGTGAGTCTTTGGGTGTTGAAAATTCTCATGGGAGCTGATGAACAAATGGAGATGCATGAAAGAGACGAGGATGGAGAGTGGAAATGATGATGATGATGAGGATGATGGAGATGATGATGATAATTGAGATGAGGATGAGGATGAGGATGAGGATGATGATGGAGATGGAGATGATGATGATGATGATGATGATGATGATGATGATGATGATGATGAA